CCAGATGATCACTATCGCACACAGGGGGGCTTGACGGCAGAGGTGAAGTATCACAAATTAGGCGCTGCTTTAGAAACGCTGAAGTTTGACTTTAACCTTGCAGGACTTTTTGGAAGGCACTTCCGAGTATGGGAGAGGAGTTTTGGCAGAGGAACAGAAAGCCTGGTGGGTCCGCACATCTCGGGATGCTGGTACTCCACACTAATCCATTTTAAACCATCTGTGAAATTAGCAAGATTCCTTAAGTCCTTCACCTCCAAGGATTAAAAATGGCCCTGGGTCTGAGCCATCGCATGTACGCATATGTATGCATGTCTGCTATCAGCCCAAACTTCTGAGGCTATAATCACACTTTACCCTCTACATGACAGACGCTTTTGAAAAGGTAACTACTTTGAAGACAATTTCACCCGAGTCTCTCTCCTCGCATCTTTTTAGATGCTCTTTGAAATCTGTAGAATCTGCACTTTGTGTTATACTACATAAATATGAGCCTTCTTTGTGAGACTTACTCCCCCTGCAATTCAGCACACTCCAAAGTTGAATAGCGGCACAACGTGCAACCCGGCATCCTGCAAAGTATGTCAAAAACAAACCGAACCGCTCTAAATATATAAAAAAAAAAAAAAAGAGGAAGACGTTTCAGGGCTCGAACATCTGCTGAATGGCAGTCTGGGCTGTGAGGTAAACAAAAGCCATACATAGACAAAAGTTACCTGCAATGCCTCCTTGAACTGTACACATAAACAGCTCGAAAGTGCAACTCTTCAGCCTTGCAGAGTTTCAGCCAAAAACTGTACAATGAAGTCATGAGTCAAGTCTAATGAGAAAATCAGATATATAGCAGCTGGGCTTGGGGAAACAGCCCTCCCTGACTGATTCACTGGACTCAGTGGCAATAGCATGGAGCTCAGGAGGAGCTGCCACTTCCAGAACAGTAAAATATTGTTCCAGACGACTCCCTCCAATGTTTAGTCATCAGGGCCATGGAATAACAGGGCTGTCGCCTCCGCACAGCAATACAGTATTAATTATTATTTGCAGCCCAAACACCTACATGTTTGTACTAACACTCTGACAGTTCATCCAAACAGGCCATTTAAAGGCTGCAACATCATTCTCCGTACTTACGAACACCCCCACCTAGCCTCCCCCATTCATCCAACCACAGGCTCGTGCAGAGAGGTACGCTGTATCAGAGGGATTAAAAACCAGCTTAATAGAAATAACAATGCTCATGTCTTATTTCAAATCAGAACATCAATAACCGCCACATCTGCATGTGCCCAGAGAAGCACAAGGGCAAATGCGCAATGCCAAGGCTGCCTTCAGGGCCAAAGATTTGTAATGCAAGCTTTGTGAATTACAATAAGATTTATTGTGCAGCAATATATGTCTAATTTTCCATCTACTGTGGGGCACTTCAGCAGCAGAGAGCTGACACAGGCCTATATTATACACCACAGTTAAAATGTGGTTATTTTACACATGCTCTCGGGGGAAGAAGCTTACAGTGCACTCTGGCATTGGACAAAAAATGACTGATGAAGATAACAAAAGGAACACATAAATGGTTTTCCAAAAATGTTTTGAAGTAAGTTCTATTCCAGATCCATATTTTTTTCCTACCATGGCAAACTTAAGGAAATTATGAAAAGCCTCACTTTCTATTGGGGATTTTTTCTATGGTATTTCTTCACACAAAAGTAGGTAGGTACTCAAGAGATATTGACTGATAATCTACTTTTTAATGCCCAGGAACACATCAGAAGAGAAGAGGGCAGTAATAGCAGCGTACATACACATATTACAACATTCACAAATGTAATCAATACCAGGCTTCTATTAGTGATCATACTGGGGTTTTTTTTATGTTCCAGTCAGAAACAATTATTTACTGAACAATCAGGCCTTTATTTTAAACTAAAATAATTCATCACTCATTATTCATAATGTAAAGCTATGTCAAAGAGGTGAAGCTCGCTGGGAGCAAAAAGAGAGAACCCAGTGGCTGGAATCCAAAAGATGAAAAAACTCCTGCAGTTTAGAGGGCTTGGTTTCCTCCAGGCCTTCCACCCTATTTCTGGCAGATGCTGCAGTCAGTCAGCAGGAGCACATACATTAAGAATAGCCTCTACATACGTTAATGTGTTTTGGAAGATATTCTTCTTAGTAGATGGTCCCATCTAAACTTGTGCTTTCTCTAAAAGATTTACGGGCCAGCACTGAACATCTATCTTTATTGTAAAGTAATGATAGATTATTGGGAGGAAAACAAATCCCAGTAACCATTGTTATCCACTCAGTTCCACAGTGAAATCAATGAGAAATGTGGTCATTTTTTATTTTGAAAGAAAAGCACTTCAGGAAGTTTTCTTTTTTTTTTGCATTTCAAATAAAGCAAAAATAAATAAATAAATCCTAGCTAACCAATGCTAAAAGATGACTGCAGTACATAAAAGCAATTCAGTGATAAAACAAGGTACTCTCACATCTGAACGTGTAACATGCATCATCTACAGGAGCTATAAACAGCCAGACCAATATGGAATTTCTCCACAGAAATTAGGGTTGCATGGATATTACTTTTTTTTGTTGTCTAATACCGAATATTATACTACGGCAGAGACTGCTAACCTATGGTCAATATTAAAATCCTATACTATTTTGCTGAAATAAATTACACTACAAGTGAATTTAGACTGTATATCAACCACTGGGCACCACCATGATAGCTCCATACATTTGAAAGGAAACACTTGCGCCTCAGCCTAGCCAGTGCTCTCGGAACAGGACACAACAATCTGAGAAAAGGGCCCAAGGTCTATAGGACCAAGGAGCAGGACCGGAGCACGGAACGTTTTAATAAATTTATTAGTGCAAAATGACCAACTTTTCGACGCACATGCGTCTTCTTCAGAGACTCTGATGTTTTGTTCGGTTCATTAATTACATGGGACATGGCAGGTCAGGTCAAGTGCACTGCATTGCGGGATACAATGATCACCGCAGTAAGCTCTGCAATACTGTACATTTTTGTCTCATTCCACTCTCTAGCTCCCTGCATGAATCAGTATTGTGAACCATTTCAGGCACAAGCCAGACCTTGATCAACTAGCCTAAACATTGGGACTCTGATGACTTAATTTCCCAGAGCTTGTGCAAAACATCATTGGTATTTCATTCAGCTTGAGAGGCTAAAGAAAACATGACAACATTTTCAGTAAGTGGAATGTGACAGAAATGGACGACTACCTGATTAGTGTACCGACTACTGTAGACCTACTGAACTATGAAAACTGAGACACTGGTGGTATTTTCTGCTTAGCCTACATATTTGCATTGTGTGCACGGTCTACATAGTATACACAACATACAGCGCAAGAGTACTGTGGTAATATGCTTTTGCAAACATAAAAAGTTGATAAAGCCCTTTATATTTTTCCATACTATGGAAGTCAATGGGGGTCCATTAACTGTTTGGTTACTCATAGTCTTCAAAATATATGATTTTGTGTTCAACAAAGAAAGAAATCCATACAGGTTTGAAACAACTTGACGTTGAGTAAATTGTACCAGAATTTTCATTTTTGGGTGAACTATCCGTCAGTTCACTCAGGGGAGCCATAACGCCCTTGATGTTAAGGTACAGTTTCTATCTAAAGACCAAAATGTACTGTAACTGTGTGCCAAATTAAAATTGTCAAAATATTTCAAAACAAGAATAAAATAATATATTAATAATTAGCCTATTTTAAGCTATCACAAAAAAATATCTCCCCAGGCTCGCATGCGTAAAAACACAAGTAGGCCATGGCCCCTAGGCTAACTGACTAAAGTAGCCTTCCTTTCACATCGCACACGTACATTTCTCTCATTCAAATATATCCGTGTAGGCGTTTGAACCGTATAAACGTATGCAGATACATCTGAGTTTATTAATCAATTGTGCTTTACAGATACCACAAGTCAGTTGTTGTAATTCAGCTTCATTTAACTGCCGAATTCCCAAAGAAAATTTTCTGTGACTGGACAATACAAGACGATCACTAGTAGACACCGTCTAATAAACGCTAACCATAATCTAACTAATATTCATTAGGCAAAACCTAACAAAATACATCTGCAATAACCTATAAAAAACAACGCTTATTGTGTTATGACCTGCTACCCACCTTCACGCGCTGCCGCTAACCGCTCCGCTGTTTTTGCTCTCATAGGTCCACGTGTTGCTGAAACGTCATTGGCGTGCACGTAACAAATGTGTGAAGCGCAAGAAAAAGAAGAAACACGTTACAACCACGAATAAGCTTTTAGCGTGTTTTAATCGGTGTGCACTGCAGTAAACATCGTGTAGGCGTATGTACACCGTTTAGTGTAATTACTTGTACGAAAGTAAACACACTCCTGTTCACTTCATACCCATGATCCTAGCTAACTGTTTCAAAAGTAGGCCTAGCCTATAAGTATTTTAGAAATATATATATTTTAGTAGGCTATATATAACATTTTAATTTATATATTTTCTTTTCTCTTTTTAATTTTAATTAAAGTTGAATTGTTGCAGCAGCATAAAGCCAGAAATTAGAGGCCTAACAATCAGGTCAACAATTATTATTAGCTTTGTTGCCCATCTAAGTAACCTGTCAGTGGAATGTGTGAACGGAAAACAAAAAGGCATCTGTTAACAAGGCTGCCACATAATATGTATGTTTGCAGTGTGCAGTTTACTTTATTGCTAATACAGAGAACTATGTAAATGTTTGTATTCTCTTTAATCGCATTTCTACTTCAGCAATTGCATTTATTATGGCAGCTAGCTCATATTATTCTCAAGGCGCATAAAGTAAATTAATTTACTACTTAGCACAACAAACTCCCAACATCAAATTAATTCCAAATAATTAATTTCCACATACTTCTGGTTAAATAATATTTTAAATATGTCTACAACTTACTACCAATAACTAATTTAAAAAAAAACAACAACACACAACAAATAAAACAAAATGTCTCTTTAATTTGTAAGTGTCAACAGCAGTACAAAAGATGGAGTGATGGTGAGACGATTTTGTCATACGTGTGTGTACTCTATCTTTTATGGAAAAAGAGGAACTCTTGAGGTAAATAAGCAAACAGACAGGAACACCCTCATCTGCCATCATACATCAGTGAATTGAGAATATACTGTAGAAATGGTGTTACATTACAATATGCCAAATGCTGCTTGTGGGGAGAACATCCTAGATATTTGTACAATTCACTAAGGTGTCTAAATACACCAAAATGTGTCACTCATCTGCTTTATTTTATTTGATATAATAATACTACCATTACAGAGAAGACTGGTCTCTGGACATACAACTGTAGCATTAATTAGTTTACCTCACGTCAATACTGCACATGGAAACCAATGACTTGCTGGTTTACATACTAAAGCCAAGCAAAAATATTTTTAGTACCTTTTTTCATTTTTTTTTAACAATAATATCCTTAGCAAATAGCTGTCTTTTGTACTGTAAAAAGAAGAATGTGAACACAAATGTGATGGCAACCTTTTTAAGTTCAATTAAAAACTTTACACTGGACTGTACAAGATATTGTGATAAAACTATTTACATTTTTAGACTTAAAACTTTTTTTTTTCTCCAAAAGCAGCAACAGATACTATTCTACATCTCTAACGCCCGAACAATAATACCTGCCATGGGTCTATGTACCTGCTGAGAAACCGGTCTCTACACACACACACACACACACACACACACACACACACACACACACACACACACATGCACGCACGCACAAAAAGACAAAATCAAAGAAAAGTGTTATCAGGCTGCTAGCAGGATTCAAAACAAGAGTGTACCTAGCGACAGATGAGCCACACACAGTGTTGCTTGAGAGACTACAGAAATCTAAAAGCAAAATACCATTGACAACAGCATACGTTGTCCCTGACGGCAACATTTTACTCTTCTGAACAGCAGCTAGCATGTCAGTCCAGCATGTCAGTGAATTGTGCTGATTAAATTAACAAAAATTATCCCACAATATACATCACAAAAGTCAATACAAAAAAAAAAAAGCATTACAGTAAGATAAGTAGAAACACCCAAGCGTTGTCCTCAGTTATTGTACCTACTTTGCATTAATATGGCAGTGACAGTTATGTATTATAAAAGAAATGTCATTTAGACTTGCTGTTGACTGGATGGGAAATGGTCTATTAAACACTATGAAGCAACACAGAGTAAAATATTGTATGAAAACCTCAAATGCAAAGAGTGGGTCTGCATTGTGCAGCATAAAAAAAACCATAAATATTTGCACATCCCCAATGGATTAAATGCTCACTAAGAAACTCACATGTTTTCAGATAATGCTGTACTGAATGACACACCACAACTGATGCCCCACAATTACTGTACATGTTCTCTCATTCAAATTTGGCACACAACCAATTATTATATAACTTCAGCAAGTACCTTAACATTTAGAAAATAAATTGTAAAAAAAAAAAAAAAAAAAAAAAAAAAAATTACGTACATGGATTTCAAGATTTGTCCTTTGCTACAGAGTGCACTAACAACATAGCAAATGGCTGGTTAATTCAGCATGGAGTGCGAGGTTCATCACTGAAACACATCGAAGTGAGATGTCTCAGCTGTTTCTCCAATACTACTCAATCAACAGGGATGTGAATTCAGCAACTACATGAGGTACAGTGAATTGTCAGTTTGTGATTTCGTTCTTTTTCTAAGTACAATGACCAAGCACACACACACACACACACACACACACAAACACACACACACACACACAAACAGAGAAGAAAAAAAGTAAAATACATAATTTATACTTCAGTAAGTATCCATGAACAAAAATAGAATTCTATTTTCCTATGTTATATTTACAATGAAAAGAAAAAAAATGAGATGGAGATAAAAAAAAAAACTTTGTTTTGAGCTCCAATCCATTTTGAAATTTCACTGTTTTTATTCTTGTTCTCTGATTGTCCTTTAATTCTGTTCTACTGACACTTTTAGAGCCAAAAATGGCTAATAAATACAATAAAATGTCTATGCACTAGAGAGCTTCAAATACAATATACAACACAAACATACATGACCATTAAAATGTGCTACTGAAGTCCGGTGTGTCTCAGTCACTACGCAAGCTTCTCCGTCGAGTATACTGCTCTTTCTCCCCTAGGCAGCACTGGAGCTTAAACAAAGTGTTCATTCATCACGTGTCTTTGCATAAATAAACAAAATATGTCAAGAGAAAAATGACTCAAATCTGGCAACTGTGAGGCGCGCTCACATGAGTCCAAACAGGTGACTTGTTCATGTAGGTTTTTTCTTTTTTTTTCCTCGCACAACGGCTTCACATTTGTCAGAATTGATAAAAAATACCATTTATATCCAGTGCTTGTAACACTTTTGAATCATTGTCTCCGTGTGAGATTGAAATAGTCTTTTTTCTTTTCTTTTCTTCTCTTTTCTTTTCTTTTTTTTTTAATCTATACAAGCGCAATCAAGTTTCAGTCCCAACAACAGTCCTTTTGTCTGCTACCAGCCTACAGAACTGGCTTGGCATGGTCAAGGAAATATGTACAAATCACGTACAAATCAACCAATCCACCAGCAAACAGATATAACAGCTTTAAACAATAAACGTTGGCTTGTAAGCAGGGAAGAAAAAAAAAAATGTACGCGGATGTCAAGGGACATCCAGCCAAGTATTGTACCTTATGTAAAAATCACAACAAACTTAAACGAAACCAACAAAATAAAAAGGTACAAATACAAGCTTCTAAAGAAGTGCTCGAAACTTCTACGAATTAAGTAAATGCTTTTCAAAGAGGGGTGCTGAAAAGAAAAAGTTAATGCTTCAACTGCTGGGAGAAGTAAGCGCTAAATAGTCATCAGTACCTTTTAGACCTTTGGAGGTAATGCAGTGACCAGCAGCCTTGCTGTGACATTTCCTGTCTATTCTAATCTCTGGGTTACCAATGAAACAGACAGGTTCAAGGGCAAAGGCAAAATAGCGGGACTCATGCATTAATAATGCCGTATTTCAGATGATACCGACTCGTCAGTCATTTTAATAATCCCCCACAGCTTGATCTACTTGTTCCATCTGCTCGCTAGCACCTCGTGGCTGCTTCTGGCCGCGGCCTTTCGCTAGAGCTTTGATGGAGAGAGGGCACAATAAACCACATGGGCCTCGTCTCCATTGTTCGCCACCTTTCTCCTGGGCACGGGCCGATGCCGGGAGCCAGATGGCAGCCCCTTGAGGGAGGGTGTGTGCTGGGCAGAGGTCAGGTGAGTGGAGGTGAATGGCACTCGCACCCTGTAGGAGCTTTCAGTAGGGCCAAAGTCTAAAACAAGAGGCCCTGACCGCTGGCTGCTTCTTGGCTGTCCTTCCACACGGAAACAACCTGAGATCCGTTCTACTGCCGGAACGAGCGGATAATTTAGTAGAGCTGCAGGGCTGAATACAAAGGAGCAAAAATGTGCTTTTTCGTTATGAATTGTCGTCTTTTTTTCTTTTTCTTTTTCAAGTGCTAAAAAAGATCCAAGATCCTAAGTCTTCTGTTCGTTTCAGAATATATTTTTTTAAATGCAAATACAATTAAACAATGTTAAATCCAAGTATCCTTAGACAGTATATAGAAAATTTGGAAAATAAGTGCCATTATTAGTTTAGTTAATTTTTTCCTTAACCCTCTGCATAACTGGCCAAAACATCCTAATAAACTGGACGTTCTCTTAAGACTTAATGATGAACAAATTGCAGAAGCCCAAAGAGCTTTAAGACTATTTTATGTCAGTTAAAATTACAATGTCCAGAAGACTTAAGTGTAAAAAAAAAAGACTTTAAACTTGCTGCCCTGGAAAACGGGGCTAAAGACTTTAGCAGAATGTGCGTGTACATATTGTACAACAGCAATTTGTGATTGTAATACACCAAAGCTGCCTTTCGCTGCCTGTCCAATTCTGCAGATTGGATGCCATTTGGCCCCTTGGCATTCTGGCCTGATTACAATCACTGTGATTAAGAACCGAGCGGGTAAGACTGAACTAGACGAGGCCGGTGGTCAGATGATCACTGCATTGAACCTCCTGGAGAACTATAACACTATTAGTTCCTGAGCATTTGAAGGTGGTAGTCAATGGAGAGGAGAAAAAGAAAGTGGGCTTTGTCGATAAGATTGCAAGGATTGTCTAAGACTCATGCAGTCTCTCCCTTAAGACTTTCAAATTTAAGATTTAAGATTTAAGAGCAGGAAGCTTATGATATGTTTGGCACATCTGGACTTTTTTTTAAATGTAATAATAATAATAATAACAACAATAATAATGGGGAGTTTTAGGCTTTCCCTCTATGGTTCATCAAATGTAAGGACTTCTTCAGTTTTATCGTATTATGAAATGTCAAATGAAGTGTTTTTGTCTTTTTCATTTGAAATAGTTCTGATTAAAAACATTCACAAGCTGTTGGCTGGTACAGCATACCTGAGTGAGATATAGAACCCCATTTAAAACAGTAATGTACGCTTCAAAGGACAAAAAAAAGGTTTCAACAAATACATGTGTAAATCCATATGAATTTGAGTAAGACTGTGAGTTATGCATTCATATGAAATGTTTCAATTGTCAAGTCCTATTATTTAAAAATGTCGTAGGAAATACCCTAAATTGTCCATGATCAAAACACAAGGAAAAAAAAAATCAATAAAATAACAATAATAATAAAATAAAAAAAGCCAAAATAAAACAATCAAATTGTTTCACACTCGGAGAAACGTTTAAGACCAATAGCTGTTAAATCTGAAGGAGCCACATCTGCATGCTGGCTCCCAAAATGTGTATCATTAGAAACAAGTTTTTCGATTTCTTTTTTTGTTGTTCGTTATGTTCTCTTTTTCATCTTCTTCAGTCTTCCCTCTAATAAATGGATATTCTTCACAGGGTGTCTTGGCCTCAGTTGGCACTGACCGGCTCCTGTGTGTCACTGCTGTAGTCCGATTTGGGCTCGTCCTCAAAGTCCTCGTACATGTCCATCTCGTCCTCTCCGTTCACTGGGTCACTAGGCACCATGGTGCCTGGTTCCATCTTCATGTTGAAGGTGCTCTGGATGACGGGGATGGTGGGCTCAGGGCTGGCCGAGGCACTGGAACAGTCTGACGTCATGTGAGGGGAGGGCGTAGTGGTCGCCATGGTTATGGCACCGGGGTAAACGACACCTGCGCTGGTGGTGATGGGGATCTGCGTCTGTGGCTGCTGCCTGATACAGAGGTGAAGAAACACACGGGAGAAAGACAGTTTTATGCTTATGAAGAGCAAGTGTGCGCTTTTACTTTTTACAAAGCTCAGAGAAGCTTAACAGCTTTTAAGAGACGGATGACAAGTTTAACGCTTCTCAAGGAAAACAATTAGGGTCTCGGGGAATAAGAGAATGGAAAGAATGTACAGAACCAAACGCTGGTCGAAAGCGTAAAGCTTGGGGAGTATAAAACCCAGGCTTGAATGGAACGTGACCAAGCAGTAGCCCTGTAAAAAATTATTCCCAATCAGCGACAACGATTTGGGAACGATTGTGAAAATGACACTCATTTCTTTCAGGGCGACAAAGCCAATTGGTTGGTAGAGACACAGTCTCCTGATCTTTAACAGGCTGATTGATACTCCAGCGCTCGTATTTCTTGCTGTTGAAGTGGAAACACCTGGAGCAGGCATTTTCTTCACTCACCACACGCAGTAAATTATAGAGTTGTGCTCCAAACATCTGCCCTACAGCCCTCTCTACATTCATACTCGACTCTAATATCCTAAAATAATGGCTACGTGAGTCCTGCTGCCCTCTGTTACCGTCTAAATGCGATAAACCACCACTTTCAAGCAGCTGAAAGAAAATACTATTTTGTCAATGGGATTCAACCCAGGGCCATACAGTGCATTTCCCCTCCTCCACAGAAAAATAAATTTACCACAGCATATAATCACAAAGGGAGCGTGTGCGCAACAAAAGGCGACGCTCACTTTGCTTTGAAGCGTATATTAAAATTAAGTGCGAGGGCCATATAACGTGACAAATGAGCTAAGTGCCTGAATTATTCCAATCAACCTGATTAGAGGGTCACTGGCTTTACACCAGGAGTTGGCACACGGCATGGAATCATTACCTGCCTATTGTGTGAGCTCTAAACTGGCTTTATTAACAGTCTACAGGGTTTTAAGGGCATCTTGGATTGTTCCTGCCGTGCGCCTACCCCACAGTGAAGAACTGCCTCATCTCCTGCCTCCTCGACCTCATCATCTGCTTGTACTCGCCGATGCGCAGCTTCTTGCCGTCGATGATGCAGGTGCGCTTGGGCCTGGGCTTGTACTTGTAGTTGGGATACTTCTCCAGGTGGATCTTGCTGAGCCGTGCCTGCTCTTCATAATACGGTTGTTTCTCCTGGTTCGTCATGGACTTCCAGCGAGATCCTGTTGAACACAGGTGAGAAGTTAGGAATGATACAGGAGTGATTTTTTTCTTGGAGAAAGAATGACTAGATTTTATTTTATTTTAAACTAATATATATATATATATATATATATAAATTCAATACATTTTAATAAAATGAATAATATGATGAGTTTAATCAAATGAGTAAAAGAATGACTATGTTTTATAACTACATTTTATTTGATTATAAAACTATATTTTTAATGAATTCAATACATTTTAATAAAATGAATGAAATACCTGAAATGAATGCTATTTAAATGTATTTTTACATTTAGAGACAAAATCAGCATAAAACACAATGTGCAACACATGAACTGCATTATTCTGAGGCAAGCACTGCTTTTGTGAATGGAGGGTAACTGCATGACTGTTACTGTTGCTGCATTAGTGGAAACAACAGGCCAGTAAATATCTTCAGCCTTCAGAATGTCCTGGCTGACGGGACTTTTAGTTGCTGTGATCTATTGACTCTCTGGACTGGGGGACAAGACCCATTTAGCCCTGTCATTTTTCATGACAAACACTGCCCATGTGACAGCCACTAAATCCATCTAATTGAGCTGCTCCCGCAGGCAGCACACCATCAAGTTTAACTGTGCTCGTCTGTTTGAGATGCATTGAATTGTGTGGAATTACTTGCAAAAGATTAGGCAGGTGTGGTAATAGCCTGAACATCTTATTCACAACATACATTTTGCTTAGTAGCTAGCTAGGTAATGCTGAGATGCTTGTTTATTGATTGCTAAGAGGGGAAAAACTGGCATGGCAATATTCATTTGCATATGTTGTGCAATTCAAGGTCCGATGTATTGCATGCTGAAATATCTAGTCAATCAACATAACACTCACCCTCTCCCTTAATGGTGCAATTCAGCTACATTTTAGTTTTGTAAGTCTTGGTTTTGGTCCAAAATAGTGGGCTGTTTCAGTTTGGTAAAAACAGACCCTCCCTTTACCTCAACAGAGGTTCAGTGTTTCTGCTGTCCTAATTCATGCTGATACTATCATCAGTGTCATTATTAGAATATATTATATATTATATATATATATATATATATATATATATATATATAGAAGATCAGCTCAATAGCCATGTTTCCATCAATCTTTTTTTTTATGTGAATTTTGGCATGTCGTTAAAAAAAATATGGAAACACCAATAATAAAATATTTTAAAATGCGGTAACACTTTATTTTAAGATGTACTTACTATAGTAGTAACAATAAATTATGCATAATTACAAGTAACTAACCCTGAACCAAACCCTGACTGTAACTCTATAGTAAGTACATGTAGTTAATTAATATTACGCAGTACTAATTCACCTTAAAATAAAGTGTAACCAAAAATGCAAACTATGCTTGCTATAATTTTTTTTTTTTTCATTAGAAGACCAGCGCTTAAACTACAATAGAAACACACTTAATACATTTATAGATCAATTTCTACTTTAGAAAATGCCATGTGACTGCTTCATGTCTCAACAAAATGTATATTTTTATATTTTCCAATTTCCTGGAAGTGATGATTTTGTTTTCTTGAAAACATGGGATGGAAATTCTGCTTACTTGCAATTGCTTTTGCGATATTTCGATTTTTGCTAATAATAATTTCAGAGCTTGAATGGAAGCATATAGTTAATGACAATCATTCCTTGAGTAGTTACTCTGAAGAAAAGTAAAGCCATTTCAGTAAGTAGAATGACTCTTTAAACGGCTGTTAAAAAAAAAAGACTACTGGATTAGTGTGATCCAAAACAAGCCATTAGACATTTTCAGCAGTTTCTGAAGCACTCTAGAATAGTTCCCAAGACATCAGTTCAGTTTATTCGTATGGAGCATGGCGTCATCCCAAAACGAAAAACGGAAAGGCTAACGCAGAAGGCCATGACTGCTGGTCGTGATTGATTTGGGGGGCTTTGACTTACCCAAGATTTTGCTGATGTTGGAGTTGTGCATGTCTGGGAAGGCCTGAAGGATTTTGCGGCGCTCATCTTTGGCCCAGACCATGAAGGCGTTCATGGGCCGTTTGATGTGAGGTTCGTTGCTGTTCCTTCCCCGGGGTTCCCTGTAGACCCGTGCCTCGGTAGTGCTGGCGCCTCCTGTTGGCCAACAATAATACTGATGTGGTTTATCTGCAGAGCCATTCAGTTCCCTACACCCTAGGAACACCAGAGCAAGAAGGAGAAAGCGGGTGCAAACCGTTAATCAACCTAGTAGTGCAGGGCATCCATCAGCACATCAGTGTGACTGGAGCTGAACCAGAGAAGGGAGGCCTGCAGTCGTACCTCATACTCCAGGCTGCCCATCCCAGAACTGGATGGGACAAGCCCATGTTTTGGAGCATAGAACAAGACGGCATTGTTGGTCGAGGAACTCCCGATGAGTGAAAACTAGCTCAAACCAGACTAGGAGGACCCTCACCATAATGCCTTTTAAATATTTTGTCTGGGTTGCAGCGTTCTTTCTTTTGAACCGCCGTACATTTCTGGATGGCTGTCGTAATGTTTCTCCTGCTATGAGTAATAATGGTAATGCTCTGAATAACAAATGTGGCACAAGTGTGTTTGTGTAAAGGAGGTAAAATTAGGGGAGAGGGCCAGTGCCAATGTCCTGACAAAACATATATCTCCATGTGATTGCTTTCAATGTGCTAACACATACAGACAGAGGATGACAAAAGGCAGACTTAAACACAGCAGTTAAACTTGGGATGGTAAATAAAATATATATAATATATATATATATATATATATATATATATATATATATATATATATATATATATATATATATATATATATATATATTTGTGTTACTTGGATAAAATATTTTAGGCTATATTTTTAAATAAAATATAAAAGACTTTGTAGGGTCACTAATAATAATAATAATAAAAACTAATTAAAATAAATAATTATATGACAGATACCTGTATATAAAAATACAAAATTAGGTGTCTGTATAAAAATGATCACTGGCATTTCACACATGCGTGTGTAGAGTTAGTGAATGAGGCCTGGTGTGAGTGCAGTACAGAGCAAACAGGCTTGAAGGAGTGTAACTTCTCAATCAGGCCATTCACAATCAGCATGTGTGTCCCCCAGTTTCTGTATTTAACTTTACAGCAGAGTGAAAATGATTCTGTTTGCATGCGCATTTGCTTCCTTTTATATGTAAGATGTGAAAGAATTAAATAAAAGCTGTATGAATATTTCAACAAACAAAAACATGTTGATAAATAAGGCTTGAAAAATAAAACAAACAAAAAAAAAGCCTTCCCATATGCTACGATACATCTTTAATGATCCAAAAACTGGATAAGAAGGCTTGGAATCAGCCATGAATATTTCATCATCCACATGTGATGTGTATTCATTAGGACCCTGAAACTTCAAGTCTTGGCACACGATACCTGCTTTTGATTTCTATTATCAGTGGTGTTGATAAACAAAATAAAAACTCCATCTAAGTAATGGATCTTGGCACTGCACCGCTACTAAAGCACCGGGATACCGAGATTATTCCGAGGGCAGTGTGCTGCTCAGAAAAGGAGGAGCGGGAAATAGGCAATGTTGGAGAGGTACCTTCTCTGTTCACACACATACACACACACACTCATGCCACACTGGGGCCCTGAGAGAGAGAGAGAGAGAGAGAGAGAGAGAGAGAGAGAGAGAGAGAGAGAGAGAGAGAGAGAGAGAGAGAGAGAGAGAGAGAGAGAGAGAGAGAGAGAGAGAGAGAGAGAGAGAGAGAGAGAGAGAGAGAGAGAGAGAGAGAGAGAGAGAGAGAGAGAGAGAGAGAGAGAGACAGAGAGACAAAGTCTAAGTTTCAGGCAACCAGCAGGAGGCTCTATCCTCCAGGCCCTGCTGGGCAGAATGGCTTTGCCCAGGGCCCAAAAGATCCATTTACACATGTCATGTTTAACAATCATAATAATCCAGAAAGGGCTGCTGTTTATCTGGCTGCCCGGCTCCACACAGTCATGGTGCATCAGTCAGGCTCTCTCTGATCTTCCCTCTCCACAACTTTGTACCACCAAACGCACTACAAGCCAGCTGCCTCGTCCCAGCTTCTCTCGGCCCCTTTCGTTGGGATTATACGGCGACGACGTTCCCCCCACAGTACATTAATTTCATTTAGCACGCGCTCACCGTGCAGGATAAATTGATTTCACTTTGTTTGGCTTTGACAGCCATGTTTATTGTGCAATGAAATGTAGTGTGGCGTAGGGCTGACAGTATCCATCAACGCTGGGCAATCTGCTGACTGCCGGGGCCAGATGAAGGCATTCATTACCTTGCCAACGCTTGCTCGCGCATTCGGCTACCTTACCCAGACACGACCGCCGCTGTCTGTTCGGGGGGATGGCCGGCTCTAATTTACGATTCGCCCTGTGCCATTACTTTACCACTGACACTGATTCAGCAATTTATATACTGGCATGCATTCAGATATAGGCAGAGGTGAGCAGCTTACATGCAAGAAACCAGCAGCTGGACTTTTAAATTGCAGATCGGATCCATTTTTCCGTTTCGCTGAGAGAGGGCGAGAGGGACCGGGGCTGGTTGTAATAATCATCTCATGCCCTGTTGTTGCTGTAGTGCGTCAGCAGACACAGACTCAGCGCTCTCAGTCATTTGAGTGGACCGCAGGAATGAGAGCCGACTTAGAGTGCCGGTGCTCTGCGGGACGAGACGAGCGGCAGCCCCTGGCATGGAGCCCCGCTCGCAGACACGGGTGGTCCGTGCCCCCCACCCTACAGCAATCATGATGTGCCTTAATCAAAAGCAGCCAAAGAGTTGGCAGCGAGGTCGGCTCGCGCGACGTCACCCCACATCCACAACATGCAATTTACAACCCTCTGCTTTTTTTCTAGCTTGTTGTTGTTTAATAAGAAAGCTTACATGCCTCTGACATTTACAAATTAGCATTAATTGACGTTTTTTCCCCCTGTGCGGCTCTTTTAGGAAGCACCTAGTTAGGTGTGTTATTGTGTAAATAAATGCAGATGTTTCGGGATGCCACGGGAGACCCCCTGAGGTGCGTGTGTGTGTGTGGGGGGGGAGACGGCAGGAGGCTTCTAATCGACTTTATTGTGATTTATGAGACCCGGTGCCCAACATGACAGAGCGATACAAGAATCTCCATTTAATTTGTCTCTCCCGGTGAACAGGAGGGAGAGCAGAGGGGGACTGTATGAATTACAGAGAAAGAGAGAGAGCGCTTACGAGGAAGTGTGCGAGTGAAAGGGGCCCCGCGGCCCGGCACACCTGCCTGCAGCAGGCCCGGACTCGATGGTACGCGGAACAGAGCCAAAAGACTGAGCCTCTCAGGCTCTCGCTGCAGCTAGCCTTTTGTTCTGAGGGCACACACACAGACTGTCACACAAGAATCCGCTTGGAGAAACAACCAACAATCACGCAAACCTGCCAGGCCCTCTGCGGACGATCCAATAAAGAAAGAGACGCCTTTCCGTGAAGGTATTTAGCGCTGACAATCGGAGTCTCTCTTACAGCGCACAGGCAGATATGACACAATGCTCAGCTCTCCCATTCATGTCAGCACTCATATTGTGCTAATTAAACCATTACAACTTACATGTGATATAAGGCCACTACTTTAACATGCCAATTGTTGTGTTGCACCCAGCTGGATATTTGGAATTCTGCTCTCTCTCTGTGTGTGAACAAGTTTATATGGACAAAAGCGCAACGTGTTAGTGCATGTTAGCATGTGCTATTGTTTCCCATGCATCTCGCCCTGGATGTTGTAAGGTCTTGAAGAGGGCCATGCTAAATTCCTGTTTGCAATGCACTATTGTAGAGACCGACGTGTAAAGGAGACTTGGGCTGAGGTGCAGACTACAGAGACAGTAAAACTGGATAAAGGACTGGCAGTGGGAATGCTGGGAAAACACAGACAGACACAAGAATGTCTGGTCTCTTTGTTGTATAGACAGCCACACACAAAAGCGCACTACCGTTAAATGTTCTCCATCTTTCTCTGAGCTGATTTATGTTAAGTGTGATAAAACTATATTTTTTGGCACCCCATTAGTGCCTCAGAGTAATAATAATAGGATGTAATAAAAAGATATTACATCTCAAAATTGCAAGTTTATTTGTCATTCTTGTGACTTTATCTAACAGTGTGACTTTTTCTGATAAAGTGCTTTTTTTTCTTATTAAAAATTATATATTATTAACCTGTTTTATTTTTTACTTTGAGGCATAAATGGACTCCCAAATACCTTACAGTTCATTACACTATGCTGTTCTTTTGAGCTTTCTATTCAAAGACAAAAATATTCCACAAAAATATTAAGCAACTGTTTTTAACTGATAATAATAAGAAATGTTTCTTGACCACCAAATCAGACTGGAGTAAGGACTGGAGTAACTTCAGCTTTGCCATCACAGGAATAAATGAAATTTTTAAATATAATAATTGTTAATAGTTAATAACACAGCTTTTTTAAAAATTAATATTTTTAGAGTATTTTTGATCAAATAAATGCAGAAACTTCTTTCAAAAACATTTTTACCGACCCCAAACTTTTAAACAGCAGTGTAGATCCTCACATATTCTGTGTTTTTTTTAAACATTATATGCCATTTATTATACACGTTTACAAAAAGATTGCCTAACAGACACAAATGTATGATTGAGCTTTTGGTTCCTTTGCTTTGACTTCTGTGATTGCTAACCTATGATAACAGGTTTTTATAGGCATTTAACTATATGCATAAATAATTCAGCATTAACATAGCTCAGAGATTAGTCAAGTCGAGCTGTTATTTTGACCGGCATTGTCTCAAAAGTGTGCTGATATTACCTCGACTTCCTGCCCCTGGAATCACTCAACACACCCTTTGTTCTGCTAAGACCCCCGTCTGACAGAGACAGTTTAAACACACGCACGACCCGACCCGCTCGGCAAACAAAACTCATACGCAGCCATATGTGAATGAACAAAGGGGCCATACTAAAGCCTTTTGTGGTATTAGTTAATGTTTTTCATCTGAGCTTAAAAAGACCTAATGACTTTGTGGTGAGCTGATGCATGTGGCTCGTGGCTTTTTGCGAAATGAAGGAAATTCTATCTATTTCCATACCCCGCCGTTATTTTCCAATGGCCTCTCTCTCGTTAGAGCTTTGGCAGCTGTTAATTTGGTTGCTGCATGCTTCACAAATATTAGTTCAAGCAACCTAAAGCTTTCTGCGAGTTGCAGCAGTGACAGAGAGCTGTTTTACACCCCAAGCCTTTTCCAATATAACGTGTCTTTTCAGCAGGCAGGACCTCCGTACAGGGGAACACGCCGCCGTTATGGACCCACTCAGTAATTTTCCTCTGCTCTCGATGGCAGTTACTGTATGAGTCTATTCGCCCTGTTAAAGTGTCAAGAAATTTAATTCTCAAATGGTAGTTTCCTACTCAGCTGATAAATCATTTAAAGTGCATTAAAAAATAGCTAGCTTTATTGACAAAGCCCCAAAGCTTCTGAACAGAGTGGCATAATAAAACAAAGACTAGTTTCAAATAAACAGAACAAAAAGGATAAAGTGTAGCCTTTTTAAGCGTAGGTATCGCATACACGGTGCTTACATTCCTCAAATGTTCAGGGAGAGGAATGCAATTTGTTTGACTTGGTCTATCAAAAAAGGCTCTAAACACAAAAACACACAAGTAAACACTTCATGTTTCCCAACGGGTAAACACATTCTACTTGTAAAAGAGACTATTTAATGTAGGGCGTATCATCATAAAATGCCGTTCACATCCTTCATCTCGATGTGTTTGCGGGAAGATGGAGATGGGGATGGCTCTGAGCACTTCTAGTGGCGCCTGTCCACTGGAATGAGAAACCTCTGTGGCCTTCTAATCCTGTCTGTACTGGGAGTTAACTGATGGGACGTTCTCTGTTCCTTCACCTCCACTTAGGACTTTGACTCTGCATCTCTTGGGTGGCTGGGTGCCCTCAACCCTGGTTCAGAGCCCACAGGAGACGGGTTCCCACCGTGTTGGAGGACCCAGCTTTCTCACTGATCTGAGAGGGGTGGGATAGGCTTCTTGGTGGGAATCTGCTCTGGTCTGGTGGTCAGAGCAGATCCTGCCAGACCAGAAAAACTGCATCTCTAAACCTCTATTTACAGATTTCATTTTTACCCAGCCAAAATAAATAATTTATGCTTTAGAAAGCTCATAAACAGAGATATGAGAGGCTGTTCATCTTACAACAACAACAACAACAACAACAACAACAACCACCAATCTATTGTGATTGTCCCCTTATAATATCTATCATTACACGGAACTTGAATTCTTTATTATTCCATATCTTGGCATAGATTTCCATGAAAACTGTTATAAATATTGCAATATACAAATATACATGGGAAAAACACTAGTGCATATACAGTATGCACACTGTTTATGAACAGGGTGGCAAAAGGAGCTGACATCTCGTCATTAAGTTCTATCATCAGCATTTACACCTCCACACCCAGCAAATCAAACATGAGCTCTGGCAACAGAGTCTGGTTCTGGAGGAGGCCCAGCATTGTCCCAATCCTTTGTCATGACGAACTAGCTGTTAAAAACTTTAAATACAGCCGTGCAAACTGCATTACCCCCATCTTACCCCCATCAACTTCCTCTAAAAACTGGCCGAGCAATTGTGGAATTTGATCATGTGACTGAACTGTACCTGACCTCATTCCTCACTGTAGTCGACAAGCAAGAAGCATTAGATATATGGAAATGCTTTGCAAGGGTACAAAGCAAAACGAGCATAATTTGTGAGAAGTCACATTATGTTTTGAAACACTACTTACCGTCGAAATCCTCTGGCCTGGTGAGGTCGATGACTCTGTGACCGATCTTTCCATCCTCGCCTAGTTTGCCCAGGTGATGGCCAAGGCTGTCATAATGAGACCTCTCCTGCAAAAATGAATGAAAATGTGTGTTCAGATATACTTTCCTGTCTACAGGATTGGTTTCTCTTAATGTACCACATTGCATACTATGAGAGAAAATGTTTAATACAGAAAATGGTATTTATTCAGATCTTTCAGATTCATTAATAATCGAGGCTTTTACTTGCTGTTGTTTTAATTAGAACATTGGGAAATTATGTGTTCTTCCACAATGGTCTATAAAGTTAAATTATTTATGTAATAAATGTATAAAATGAGTAAATTAATAACAACAACAACAATAGTAAGTATTACAATTATTATTTCAATAAAAAGAACAACAACAATTACTATATATACTGTATATCCACTAAATGTATACTACACACAAACTAAAATCTGTATGAAAACTAAGTACTAATAAAAACACTTAAGGCGAATTTCTGAATTAAAATTGTGATTTAATGAAGCAGAATTAAAATCGAATGAAATTTCAAGGCACCAATTCAATCTCGAAAGGCACACAACCCTGCCGGACACACATGCTCTTCGCACGCATTTTTATGGGCCCATGTCAAGTCATCTTTATCACAGCTGTAGTTTCTTACTGTCTTCATCTGCAGGGACTTGTACCGATAAGAGTCTGGAACACTCTGCTAAAAAGGATTTAGAAACAACACACTGAAAGATCCTGAGCACACAATGCAGCCTGGGACCTCCAGTGAAATGTTCAGCTTATTTCTTCTTTTCCGCTCTAATCTTTGCAGTACATGCCCCTGTCTCTGCCGCCCTGAGCTCCCTGTCTATCATTTATTCAAGGCTCATGCTCCGAGGAACATGCCGTGTTTTCCCTTTTGTCATGTTGCTCTCTGTTCAGATTAAACTTGGCATCATGTCGCACTTGATGCACAATAAACCCCTGTCATTCTTCGCTGGTGCGACAATATTGAATGTCATGTCCGTGTGCATTTACAGAATAAAATAACAGCTTTTGGGGGGTCCTCCTGAAAGGTTGCAGCACATTAGACTTAATGTATTATGCAGAGGAAGAGGGCCGACCGCTGCTCGGGCCCATTGTTACATGACCTAGTTCTGCCGTGAGTGCGGCAGGGCATTAGTGAAGGCCCGTCTCGCTCTCTCTAAAGACTCGAAGAGGAGATGGACACTTTGACTCGGCATGATACAAGTAATCTCTCCCCCCTCCGAATGGAGCAGGAAGATGGTAAAAGCAAAGCGCGTTATGGTGAGTCGGCCCCAAAGCGTTTGTTCTTCTCCCAGGGTGTGCATTCAATCTCAGGCAAAAGGTGTGCTTGAATTGTCTTTTCTTTAGAGAATGCCTATCATACACAGTTTGAACAGACACTCGGGCGGCCTCCCAACACAATGCTAACAGCTCCCCTGCCACAGACGCAGACACAGATACCAACGTACACATTAATCTTTCAGCCGCGCTGCTTTGGCCGTTTTGCTCGTTTGTTTGTTTTCTGTTCTTTTCGCCACTGGGGAGCCCGTGGACAGTGGAAGCTCTTCACACGGCAAAAGATTATCACTCCGGCTCAACTTGTCAATAGCTCATGACAATAGTGGATTACTTGGGAGTATTCCGTTCTTATTGCTGTTGTCACTTTAAATAGACTTTATCATCACTGAGGGGCAAATTCACTAAACAGTTCAGGCACGTTTGTATGTGGTGTTTCAGCATTAAAAGCCTGTCACGTTCACTAACTAGCCCACCTGCAAACCAGTTTAACCAGGTTCAAAATGCACTTAACTAGCCTTGTCATTTTTTTAAGCACAAACATGTCTTATTGATTTTTTTGTTATTTTCATATAAATACATACACTGCTATTCAGAAGCTGCTGAGTTTTTTTTTTTAAAAGAAATTAATAGTTTTATTCAGAAAGGACACATTAAACTGATTAAAAGGGACAGTACATTTTAGGGGTGAACCCGAATAGTCGAAGATTCGATGCTTCGATAGGAGGAGCCTGATTCGACTACCAATCTCACGGTCGAATCTTCGCAGATGTGTTATTAAACGAGGATTATGTCATTTTGGCTATATGAGTGTGCTCAATGTCTGATTTCACATAGAACTACTGGTTTTCTGTCAATACGTTAATATACAGCCTATTATGATAATGCTGTCAATAAAAATGTGCAAAGAAAGAAGCTTTTAATAAATATGTTTTAACGTGCGTGCAGCGTGAATAAATCCAAACACCCCGTGACAGATTTAAGTTTCACTTTCGATTCGTGACCGACAGAGGAGCGTCTTGTCGGCAGGGATTTAAATCTTTAAAAATGTCTGGGATAAGAAAATCTAAAGATGCACACCATGCGCACTTCTGCCGGCCAACGTTAACAGGTTGGTTTTCCTCGGGACGTTCTAAAACGCTTAACGTGAAAAAAGCTTTTAAAACGCTTAAATGGCACTTTTACGTGCTTAATGTATGTACACAGTAGGCTACACACCTTAAGAAACCATTCCATGTGCAGATAAGCAGATGAACCCAGAATATGAACGCAACGCGTTTCTCCTATAGAAAGTCACGTAAAGCTTTTTCTTTAACGGTTTTCTATGGGAGGAAAATGCTTAACGTAGCCTATAATAAAACGCGTTCCGTTCATATTCTGGGCTCATCTGCTTTTCTGTAGGCTATATAGTATGCTTTATTAATAAGGTGTGTACAGAATTTGATCTTTTAATATCACAGTTTTAGGACAAAGCCGTTAAGCGTTTTTCACGTTAAGCGTTTTAGAATGTATTTTATCCGCGCACACAATTTGAAAAGACTCAAACGGACACAGGCCGAGTGAAAGACTGGATTTTGTTTTTTCGATCAGGTATGGGTACAAGTGATTTCAAAACATTTCAGCCAGTTCTAATTTGATTTTTGGATACTGCATGTGACACGTTTAGCTAAAAAGACTGCCGCTCCAGTTTAGCGTAATTGTTGTTTCTGCAGTTAAAAAGACAAAGTTGACAATCCTGGCCATACTTTCGTTATTTTAATAATTTATTTATTTTTATTTTATTAATTGATCACTCAGGGTGATCTAATTTAACTATTTGTGACTTGTGTTTTGAATATTTGTTCCCCTGCACTTTAGGCATTTTGCACACATTTGTTCTGCTTCTTGTGACTTGATTCTGACTTATTTCGTGTTGTATTTTTATTTATTATAAATGTATATTGTGTTCTTAATTGTTGATTATTTTTCAGTGCATCGATGTTGCGCTGTAGGCCTACTTAGAGCACGCTCGTACAGGCAATTCAGCCGATTTAATTTGATTTGCATGTGAAATGCAAATCCTATCTGCAGTGTGGCCTTTCTGCAGTTATTTATGTTATTTCTTAGTTTTATTGATCCAAAATGTTTTTATACATTTTCTTCTATATCTTTGTGTGATGTTCTGTACATCGCGGCTTTAAAATGTTAAAGCCCCGCCCCCTCCCCAACACCACACACATGATTCGACTATTAGTCGACTATAGGCAGGACTTGACGAATCTGATTCGACTATGAAAATCCTTGGTCGGGGACACCCCTAGTACATTTATAATGTTACAAAATATTTCTATTTTGAATAAATGCTGTATTTTAACTTTATATTCACAATCCTGAAAAAGAATGCATCACAGTTTCGATGAAATATTAAGTAGCACAGCTTTTTAAATATATATATTTTTTTTTTATCAGCAAATCAGCATATTAGAATGATTATTGAATGATCATGTAACACTGAAGACTGGAGTAATGATGCAGAAAATTCAGCTATCGCAATCACAGGAATACATTTTAAACATTTTAAAATATATTAAAAGAACTACTTGAAATTGTAATAATATTTCACAATATTACTGTTTTTACAGTATTGTGAGCATAAGAGACTTAAACACAGCACTTTTACCTTCTTCAAATAACGCTGCACTATTGCTGTCCTTGGAAAAAATAATTAAATAATAATAAAATGAAAATAATAAATGCTGTTATAAGCTGCCACAAATTCATTAAAAAAAATCTTTTGTCTACTTGATAACATAAATTTTTACCCAAAAATACAGATTTTTCCCTCTAAAAACTATTACTATTACTCAAAAAGACGGCACAAGCATCAGAGAAAGAGAGAAAAGCTGTAGAGAGAGAGTACCGCAATTTCCCACCACCACGCTTGATGGAACAATCATTATTTATGGCCATCTGAGTGATTCTGATGTACAATTAACCACTACCTGCTTATGGCCTGTCATTAAGAGCTGCCTGTCTTGACTCTGTCTTGCTTATTTAAGTGTTTTCTAATTATGACATATGTAGCGGTCCCCGCTGGGCTCAGACGGCTTTGTAAAGATAAGTTGGAGCGCTAGCTTGGTGTGCCACGCTCTGTGTGAAGCCTCCTACACTGCTGTATTCATCACCAGACCACATTATTGCACTTAATGAAAGAGGCGCAGCACCCAATGACAAATTGACTGATGTGCGATTAGTCGCACGAGTGATGGCCGATGCGCCGTGGACTGTCCACTGGGGAAGGCCCAACAACTTGTCTAAGTGTGTGTGTGTGTGTGTGTGTGTGTGTGTGTGTGTGTGTGTGTGTGTGTGTGTGTGTGTGTGTGTTGTGTGTGTGGGGGGGGTTGGGTTATAAATTACTTGCCTGTGTCATCCCCTCCTCCCTGCTCAGCTGGCTCTCTCTGATCAATCAACCCCTTTTATAAAGTCATGATCATTAAACATCAGTTTGGGGAACAAGGAGCATCCATCATTGAGTTTCATTAAATACTGTTTAGGCGCGAAACTTTCTAATTTTCCAGAGAATTAAAGAATGAGCCGGGTGAGAGCTATTGTATGTGAAAACGAGATTAGACACTTCAGTGTCGCAGGTCTAACTTAATGGAGTGAGGTAGAGAGAGTTCATTCATGCCTAGGAGGTGCTGAAATTCATGGGAAAGTGCGACACAGTTTACAGTGCATATTAGGAGTCTGCAATTGAGAAATATAAGACACTTTCAAATATTGTACAA